TATCTGCATGCGTTTAGGAAAAAAGTGCGGAAAACCAAGTGGGACAGACTGACAGACAGACAGAGGGACAGACAGACAGACGGACGGACAGACTCAGAGGAAACATATAGTCCCCTCCGGTTTCACCGGTATGGGACTAATAAGCATATTTTTTGCTTTATTGAAGCGGAACAGTAACTTGCATTCTTTGCTTTTTTGCTCAGTCCTTGGATCAGAAAAATAACTTTAAGCTAATGTTTCTTTTCCTTCTTAGTCCTTGGACCAGGACAATAACCAGAAGAACATGTTTTTCTTTTTCTATAATTGGATCAGAACAAAAACAATTATATCTATTCCTCAATAAATGGACCAGAACAATAACTTTAATCTTATGTTTCTTTTCTTCAGTTCTTGGAGCAGAAAATTAACTTTGATAACTTTAATCATATTTCTCTTTTTCTCAGTGTTTGGACCAGAACAATAACTTTCTTCTCCCTACAACTATAGTCCTTCTGGACACGTTAAGTTTTTACTGGTTACGTAAATATAGATGATAATGAGGACCTTAAATCACTTATTTTAAAAAGGCCAACATTTAGGAAACCCCGATCTTTCAACTGGCGTCATAATTAAATAAATAGCATGAATTTAGTGGACGATTACACCAGGCGATGGGCAAGACATGAAAAAGAAGACCTTGACACTTTGTTAGAATAGATTAAATGTATCATTTAATAAATCTCACATTAAGCAATAGAGGGGCAATATGAAAACAATTCATCCCTCTGTGTTCAATAATTCAGAAGTGAAAAAAAAGAATTACACTGGGATTTAATTCTACAAGTGGTAATCCAACTTATACTCATAGTTCACTTTCTTAGGAGGAAATTCTTCAAAATCACATGTCAGTTTTGAATATCTTTTCAATATTCCCAACAACCAAAATGTATTTGAATTACCATACTTACATTGAATTCCGAAACTTCATAAAAACCTTACAAGCAAAGATACATTGCGGGTTCCAGTAAATGTTCTACCGAGCCTCTTTTTTTTACTCTTCACTAAAATATTGACAGCAGTGAAGGAGAAACTTCAGGAGTACTGTGCAACAATATATTCGAGAAATGTTGTAAATCAGATGTGGATACTTAAAAATTCCAAAGAACTTTTAGCAAATTTGAAAACACAAAATTTTACCAAAATTAATAACATAAAAACTTTTCAACTCTATATACAACCATTCCCCTCAATAAATCAAATTCCAGACATCAATGACAGCTGTTTTTTCAATAAAAATGGAACTCGTAAATTTTTTTACCTTGTCATTGCTCATTTGCAAAATTATTTTGTTTAAAACATTCCGATTTCAGGTCTTTCAGCAATCTATTGGAATTCCCATGGGTACCAACTGCGCCCCGTTATGTTTGTATTTATATGAAGCAGAATTTATTCAAAATATTATACAAGAGAAAAAGAAATATCTTGCTATGGCCTTCAACTTGACATTCAGATATATCGACGGCATAGTATCAATTAACAATAGTCATTTCCATTCATATGTCGACACGATGTATCCCAGTGAGCTTGAAATAAAGGATACCACAGAGTTTGACACATCTGTTTCATATTTGGATATTTTACTAGAAAAAGACGTTAATGGTAATCTAACAACAAAGCTTTATGATAAACGTGATGACTTTAACTTTTCAATCGTCAACTTCCCTTACTTATACAGCAATAAACAATTATCACCTGCACACGGGGTGTATATCGGGGTATATATCGCTCAGTTGATTCGATACGTAAGAGCATGCTCTATGTATGAACAATTTCTAAAACGAGGTAAGTTATTGACAATCAAGTTGATGAATCAAGAATTTCGATAGTCTCGTTTAAAATCATCATTTCGCAAGTTCTATGGTCGACACAATGACCTTGTCAGCAAAAACAATCCTAATTGTTAGGTAATTATTTACACACTGAATTGTCGACGGATTTTCCCGTTATTTCCCGATCACGACAAGGAACACATTGCGAGTGTAATTGGACGGTAGGGGATGCTCACTCCTCCATGGCAACTGATCCCCACTACTGATATTTTTGGAGGTCCGTGTTTCCTCTAGATCTGTTCCCGATTTGTGTTGCTTTTATTGACTTTGAGCTTGAATACTGTTCGTTATCTCCCTATTTCATTCATATGTTCTTATATGTTCTTATTCTCAGTGTTTGGACCAGGAAATAACTTTATTCATATGTTTCTCTTCTTCTTTACTTGGACCAGAATTGTATGCATCCATTTCACATGTCACAGGGGCTTACTAATGGTGTGTAAAATATTTATCCAAAAAAAAAAAAAAAAATCATGTACCAACTCCTAATACATGATGTAGTAGTTAGGGTATGATATGACATTAACGGAAATACTTTCTTTGATTAGTTTTTCAGTAAGACCCTTATTTTACCTTATCCTGCAACGGTGAATACATGAACCTGACTTCCATCCAACAGGTGAACTAAGGGACCTAACTGGAATGACGTCTTTATAAGCAAGCAATATAAAAGAAGGGACGTATAAATTGATTTTAAAATTCTTGCAAAAACAACATTTACTTAATCCCCATTAATACTTATTGGTATATTTGAGACTTTTTATTTTTTTCAAAGGCTAGAACTTTTTCCACTAATAGTTGTCTGAATTAGCGATTTTTATTTTTTTCAAAATCTTGACTTAAAGCAAACAGAAAGGTAATATCTTTTCTTTCAATTTCTTTTTTTAATATCACATAAAATATTCTGATGACAAAGATTTTGTGTAATCTTTAAATGGAATATATTCTACCCGGAACGTTTAACTAGTTGTTTGTGCAAATTTATTTTGCACTAATGATAAAAAGACTGGAATAGCAAGTGGAAATCTTAACGAATTTGGCGAATACTAGCAAGTAACACAATGCTACGGACTTTGAATGAACCTTTGAATTTTTTGACGGGCTTGAGCATCATCGAAGAAGCGACATTTCTATGCGATATTTAATCAGTAATTCAAGCGCAAACAGTCAGTTGGGCCCACCAGGTCAGTTTGAGAGTGTGCTGCGAAGGGGTAAACTTTAAAGGCCGCTCTTTCAATATGACATTTCTTCTCACCTGAATGATTATTTCTATGCTCAAATAAGAACTGACTACCTTTTCGAAGCATTTGTTGAACGTTTTATGTAAATATGAAAAATAAATATGGGTACAGGTAGAGAATGACAATTTCTTTTCAATCATGTTTGCTCAATGTTCGAAATAAAATCACTACTGCAGTATTTTCCGTATATTTTCCTTAACTTGGAGCTCAAAATTATTTTTTAAGACAATTTGAATTGTTCATATTTTTCTTCAGCAGTTTACTTGATTCATATCGAAAGTGTTTGAATCATTAAAACCCTTATGCACTTATAATAAGAGAAAAATTGCCCCCTTTGTATCATTTGCTCGTAATTTTTTCATGCCTTATGAGCAGAATATTTATAAGAAAGTTTGATTTGTTCAGGTTTAGTTATTAAATGCTTTTTTAAAGACCAGATCAATGAAAGTGTGGATTTATGAATCGTGATGGAGAGGAAACAACGACATATATTAGGCTATTTTATATGTAAGTATACTAATGAGTTTTTAAATATAATTGTATTTTCTTCTTTTTAAATGATCATTTTTTCCACTAAATTCATGTAATTACTCTGAATTCAGGGTTCATTAAAACATTAATCACAAACAGCAATGACTTTTTGTACATTAGGAACAACCAAACGGAAAAATTAGGTTTAAAGAGGTTCTATAATTATAGTCGAATATCCAAAGATTGTATTAATATTATCAATGAGATTCAGTCCTGAGCTTTGGAGAAGATCTTTTACTTGACCTATATTTCAAAAATTCTGCAAGATATATAAGTTCATACATAAAATTTAGATTCTACAATCATGGCAGGAACGGGGGGCGGATGGGAGGCCGTGCCCCTCAATAATTTTGCCGATATATAGAATACTATAAAAAACATAGCTACTATATGCTTGTGCATTTCCTCAATAATAACATTTGATGACCTTTTTTTTTTGCTTGTCAAGGAATTCTTTAATTTTGGTAGAGTCCCCACCCCAAACTGAAAGTGTTTGGTTGTGCCCCCCCCCCCCCCCCCAACTGAAATTGCTTCCGACGGGCCCGACAATGCAGATTCAACTATATTCAGTTATAAACCCACGATAAAATTCCATACAAAAAGCAGTTTGTGGCAAAGGGAATCATTTTAGAAGAAATCATTTTCTCTTTTTAAGTATTTACAGAACTACTAGTGTTAATGTTGCCAAGCAGGATACTAACAAAGTTATTTTATGCAGTGTCCTGAAATATCTATCAAATTCATTTTATGAATTATATCATCATATTATGACAAATATAATAAATATATTCTGAAAGTTCAGAAAAAAAGAGGCATTTTAACTTAAAATTAGCACTCTTTTAAAAATTTACATCATAACCCCCCTCCTTTCGATTTTATTTTCTGATATAAAAGATAACTTTGATTATTCTGCTTAAATTCAGTATAAGTTTAAGACTTTAAAATGATTATTTTGCTTGTAAAGATATTAATGCCAGATAAATGACATATTTTGAGTGCAGAAAGGTCGAATAATTGATTATGCAAAGTAATTTGAAACTTTTTCTTTGTCACAATTTCAATGTGCCTTTTTTAAGGTAGAATAGCAGTGTATGTTGTCTCATATTAATTTTTATAAAAAAATAGTGGAGGAAAAACTACGAAGAAAGGCTTAAGGATTTTCTGTGCAAAAAGTTCATATTGAATGTAACATAGCAACAGAAGAATGACACTAACCCCCCCCCCCCCCCCCATTTTTTCTTCGATTTTTAATTAAGGTAATAAAAAATATACGTAACAAAAAAGACTTTTGATAGCAGATCAAACCTCGTTATGTAACATGATTGCGTCGATTACAATGAAGATGATTACTTATTTTACAGACAGTAGCTTGGTCACGATGTTGAAATCGTGTCAAACAACACCTTATACAGATCAATGTGGAAACATAGGAATCTTATGGAACTGTAGCGGATTTCATATAGACAGACTACCACTGGAAATACCAGATGAATTACTGAGCCGCAATGTCACCTTGGATTTGTCCTTTAATAGATTTTCTACTCTTAACGAAAGTATTTTTGAAAATCTTGCAAATATGTCAGTTGTGACATCCATAATTCTCAATCACAATAACATAACAAAGATCGGAAGCAAAACCTTTCATGCACTCACAGACTTGTGTAGTTTGGACATTTCATATTGTCATCTTAATTACGATAGCATAGGAGTAGACGTATTCTCTCATCTACCAATCAAGTACCTTAAAATTGATCATAATAATTTCAAAAGGGAACACATGTACCCGGATGTTGCACTTTCTGCACTTCAGTCGTTGTGTAGTCTAGAAATAGACGTTTTTAAAAATTTTGAATTTACAACTCCATTTGAAAACCTAACAAGTTTGTCTGAATTAAAGTTTAATATTCAAAGTGATTTCAGATTATCAAATACGTCCTTTTTAGGACTCAAGAGCTCAAAAATCAAACACCTAAATCTGACTTTTGCAAATCACGTGTATTGTGACGTCAATGAGGATTTGTTTTGTTCTTTTCCCTACCTTACTGATGTCATAATTAATTTTGGTGGTAAATGTGACGTGACTCCGGCATTACGCTCTCTAAAATGTCTGCAGCATCGCAATATTAATAACATTACACTTTATGAAAATAAGAAAAAAATTGAGACAGATGTAATAATTCTAAATGATAAGTTACTTGAACACGCTGTTAATATCTGTGTTCGAAAATTTTTTTTGATTGAAAACAATATTGCAGCTATAACAAAAAATATTCATAGCACAACGTTATGGAATTGTTTGCAGGAATTAGATTTAAGCAAAAACGATTTGCATGTTGTGGATGTTTCAGTGCTTGCTTCTTGGTTCTTAGCACCTAAATTGAAAAAACTGAATTATTGCTGCAATGATCCGTATCGTGTTAAAAGCAGCTTTGCTGATATAGTACAATACTATTATCGGGGTACTGCGTATATCAATCTAACTTTACCAGAGAAACTCGAAGTACTTGATTTCTCGAACAATTGGTTGCACAACGCTAAAGAAAAAATACCTCGGTTTAAAATTGTTGGTGAAAGTTTGCAAGCATTGTACATCCAAGAAACCAATTTTCCACTGGCGTACGTCGACCAATTTGATTTTCCGTCTTTAAAGACTCTTGATTTATCTGGTAATAAATTTGTTAATGTACACACTGATTTATTCCAGTCTTCCTTAGGTATTCAAAGTTTATCTATCAAAGCTGTTAACTTCACGTTTTCAACAATATTAAATTCTGAAAATATATTCAGGAATATGAAAAATCTCTCCATACTAGATTTTTCAGGAAACAATTTGAGTTCTCTTCCACTAACTTTATTCATAGACCAGAAACAATCATTGACAGAATTATGGCTGGACAACAACCGATTTTTTAATATTCCAGACTCCTTAAGGCACTTGAAAAATTTGAAAAATCTCTTTTTACGAAACAATTTGATAACAGAATTTTATGAAAATGATCGAAAAGTTTTTGAAACGCTGAATAATATATCAATTTACTTAGAAGGAAATCCGATTTCTTGTACTTGTAACAGTTTTAAGTCTCTACTCTGGATGAAAAATAACAATCCTCTCTTTGCTGACATAAGTAGAATTTCATGTGCAGGAAGTAGAAATTTAATTTCTCACTTACTTTATAATGAACAAATCTGGAGAAAATTTCAAGTAGAATGTCAAACAGAAGTCTGGCTCATTTTTTCGGTGGTACTAATTTTTATGACTTTATCTATACTTTTTATATCCATTACTGTGCGGAAATACCGAGTACATGTGGAATACGTCATATTAAGACTAAAAAATAGATGCAAAGATGTGATCCAAGAAAACAGAAAAAACATCTATACCTATGACGTTTTTGTGTCATATTGTGAGGAAGACTATGCCTGGATTATTCGTTATCTGTATCCAAAATTGGAAAGTTTGAATATAAACGCGTGGTTTAAGGACAAGGATTCGGTTCCAGGAACCTGGGAAGCAGAGGAAATAGTTAAATGTATTAATGAAAGTAGAAAAGTGTTGTTTGTTATCACTGGATGTTTTCTGGAGAGTGGTTGGGCTTCGTTCGCCGTCCAGATGGCGATTACTCACGCCTTCCACAACCACCGTCAGAGTTCCATTGTTGTCATCATCAACGACAATATACCATTGGAGAAACTCCCGAACGATATAAAAAATATATGGTGGTGCATTGAGTATTTAAGGTGGCCTACAGAAAGTGAAAATGATGATTCAATAATTGCTAAGTTGTCAAATTTGTTAAAACCTAGAGATGCATAATTACAAATAGGACATGTAGAAGTTTGTAGAAATATAAATTAAGAGATGTACATATATAAAAAGCTATTTTAATCATTTTATATATTATGAAAGAGTTTGTTCACAAATTGAAATTGCTAGACATGTACTGTGCCATTCATAACACATCTTCTGCAATTAAATTATACTTGAGAAGTTCGAATTTCAAAAGTATTGCTTTTTCTGTAACTTTTTTTCTTATGACTTATTGCATGTTTATTTTGTCATCTTTACTGATAGAAAAGAGATTCTTCGAAGTTGTAATTTTTTATATGATTAAAGGGTAATGATTTGATGCCGGCAGTTTTGTCATCTTTACTGATAGAAAAGAGATTCTTCGAAGTTGAAATTTTTTATATGATTAAAGGGTAATGATTTAATGCCAGCAGTTTTAAGCGTTTTATTTTGAATGTCTCATCAAATCTTTTAAGTATTGAATACCCTGTTCTTCCAAGTATTTTGAAAACATTACCAAGATAGATATAAAGTTTGCATATACTTATAAGTTGATGTATTTGATTTCAAATGTTCTAATTTTTCATCAGTACCATTAATAATAAAGAGATAAACATCATACCATAAGTTATCTTGGTAAAAAAAAAATTACCTAGCTATGTAAAATGATGTATTTTTTTAAGGACAGATAATACAAAAAATTGGATGCCTGGATTGATATATATATATTTTGGGACCCATTTTGATTGCAAATGATGCAAATAATAAATTTCTAAAATATAAAGAAACTGTAAACCTTCTATGATGTTAAAAAATTCTATCTTTTTGTCGTCACCCTTATAAATCTATACAACTTTTATCAATTAGTAGGACATTTTTGTATAACCTTATTTGAAAAAGTAAAATCTATGCAGTTAGAATTATTTATTGTACTTATATAAATATGAGTTAGTTGTTAGTTTCATGATTTTTGAAAATAGTTTGTTTCATCTGTTCTTAATAAAAAATAAAAAAAGATATCAAATAAGATTCTTACGTATTTTGAAAAAATTCCAATTGACAATTGTTTTAAAATAAAACAGTGTTTACGTCTTCGATTAATGCATTTGCAAAAATAATTTTAAGAATAAATAAAAGTAACTCTCGAGAACTTTTGTCGGAAATTAAAAAGAAAAATCTTATGTAGTTATATTATTAATGTTTCAAGAATTTTCTAAGTCATTTTTAGCAATCAATGAAGAATGAAGATTCTGCATTTAAAATTTTTGCTGTCAATTTTTAATACATTGAAAAAGGTGAAGATAATGAACAGTGATTAATCTCAGCAAATAAATCTAAAAACAATACAAATTTGTGAACAAAGTATAAACACAGACCCCCGGAAATTCCAAAGGTGGGATCATGTGTTTAGGAGGAGTACGGGAATTCAATGAAAATTTATAAGAATGAAAAGGGTGAAAATAGCGAACAGTGATCGATCTCATGAAAACTTCAAATAATGGAACTCTTTAACAGGGCATTAACATAGACCCTGGAAATTCCAGGGGTTGGATAAGGTGTCTAGGATGAGTAAGCATCCCTCCATGACCGGCCACACCCGCCGTGAGTCCTATGTATTGATCAAGTAAACGGAACATTCAATCTGGTCAAATTAGTATAAAAGCAAAGGTCTAACAATTGGTAGGAAACAAGTCAGCAAAAATACGACATAGTGATCTAGGTTGTATATGCTTAACACTTTCTATGAAACACATTAGCCGAAATTCGACCCATTGATATGTTATATTTGCTAACAAGGTCATTATAACGACCATAGAATTTACGAAATGCTGACTTTAAACGAGGTTGTTGAAATTCCTGTAGCATCAACTTATCTGTCAGTAGCTTGCCTCAGTGTAAAAATGATCCTACTCAGAGCATGCTCTTTAGTATCGAATAAGTTGGGAGACATAGACACCATTTGCAGCGGAATATTACTACATAAACGAGTAAAGTTGACAATGGAAAATCTGAAGACATCTCGTTTGTCATACAATTTAATTGATAGTTGGCCTTTGTCGTCTATAGTCAGTAAAACATCCAAATATGAAGCAGATGTGCCAGAATCTGTGCTGTCTTTTATTTTGAGTTCACTGATATATTTAGAGTCATCAAATGAATGGAAGTAATTATCGTTATATTGATAAAACGTCATCGATATATCTGAATGTTGAGTTGAAGGAGACAGCAAGTGTATTCCTCTTCTGATGTAGAAGTTTTTGAATAAATTCTGCTTCACAAAAATATAAAAACAGGACGGATAATAAAGGAGCACAATTAGTGTGCATCGAAATTCTAGCGATTTTTTGGAAGACGTCTCTGAAGGATGCATAAATGTTGTCAATGAGAACTCCAGCATCCTTGCAATATCAACTTCAGAGTACTTATGTGTGGAATCAGAGTGACTTTTAACAAAGTAATTTTGTCTATGACCAATTACAAGATACGAAGATTTCCTAGTTTAATTTTTATTGAGGAAGCAGTTGTCTATCATATCAAAAAAACCTAATTGATTGTATAAAATTAGAAAAGTCGTGTGTTTTGATTTGACTAACTTTTGAAAAACTTGATTTTAAATTTTCTAAAAGTTTTTCGAGTTTCTGAGAATCCACATCTGATTTACACTACTTCTAGAATATGCTGTAAAACAGTAAGTCTGAAGTTTCTCCTCTACGACAGTTAATAGCGAGCACCGCTGCGCTCGACACTTTGCGCCTGCAGGGCGAAGAGAAAATTTGGAGTGACACATTGATCCAAATGATGTTTTCTGCAGACCCTAATGCAACGCGATTGCATCTTGCTGCTAACTATTCAAGGTATCACTCCGGTAATTGATCAATCAAAATGAACTTAGTCAATTGTAGTTCCATACATAATAAAGAAGTGTTTTTTATTGTGAGAAATTTTATATTTTTCCTTATTTTATTTTTTACATTTCCATGATCTTTGGTATCTATACTTAGGATATTTTATGTACTTTGTAAAATGTTGAAGGTTTTTGACAGGAACTATTTCTTTCAGGGCATAAGGGGCCACTTCCTGGGGTGCACACAAGATGTTGACAAACATATTGAAAACATGATTTTGAGGGTAATCCTGTTTGTAGATGAAAAAAAATCTGAAAATGAGATGTAGATATATATATACCCTGTTTTTGGTGTCAGCTAATATGACGGGTAACTTTTAAAACTTCCAGCTTCATATTTTTTCATGAATTCAAATTCCTGATTTTTAGAAATTTTTTATTCTATACAGAATTATATTTCTTGAATTTTTAAAGATTTTTATTCTATATAGAATTATGTAGTTAAAAGAATTACCGGTGTGATACCTTGAATACTCTCGCAATAACAACAGAAGTTCACAAATAATAAAATAGCTTTCATCTAACGAACATTGCAGATAAATATAAAATAAAATGTTCTCGTTAAAATTTGAATTTTTCGGACTTCGTTATAACCGGTTACGGTAGCTCAGTCGGTAGAGCGCTCGCTTCGTGATCGGGAGATCGTGAGTTCGAATCTCAGCCGCTTCTGACCTAAGTCGATAAAAAATGGGTAGCAACTGTTCCTTCGCCATGCGTTCGGCACTTTGAAGTGAGAGTTGCGGGTCCTTCGGATGAGACCTTAAAAACAGGCCCCGTGTCACTGTAGGCGTTGGCACGATAAAGATCCCTCACTGCTCAATGGCCCTGAGTGTTGAGTAAAGGTCACAATTTGAAGCCCTTCACCTGTATATGGTGACGTCTCTATATGAGTGAAAAATTCTCGAATGGGACGTAAAACAATATACAATCAATCAATCAATCAGACTTCGTTATGGTAATGATGCAACTAACATAGGACATCATGTGACGTCACAATCTAGACGTTCAAAATGTTTTGTGCAGTTTGAAGAGGCAGATCTAAGTTAAAAGTGAATACAGTAATACGCAACTGAGCTCGCCCTAACGGTCGCACCGTCAACATATTATTTTTGTAAAAGTAAAAGAAAGGGGTTTGTAGTGCATTTGCTGGAATCGGTATGGTACTTTGTTTGTAAGGATTTTATATGAAGTTTAGAAATCGAATATAGGTAGGGTAAATTGAACAACTCACCTTCGTTGACTGGAATGTTAAATAGCATTACAGACTGAAGTGTCATTTTGAAGAATTTCATCCTTAGAGAATGAACTGTGAGTATAAGCTGGATTTCCAGACGTAGAGTCAAAACTAAGTTCTTCTGGAAGACATTTAAAGTAATGAGCCATACAAACATGAGTTTTGCATGGATTTATAAACTCGTGATTATATATTACATGGTGGAATGTATACGGACTAAGTAAAAAGTAAAAAAAAAAAATAAATAAGTAAATAAAAGTGGAAGAAAAAAATAAAAAAATACTTTTAGATAACCCATTAAAATCTGTGGCATCATTTATACAGTCAATCTGCCTAGTAAACAATTAAGTGAGGGTGACAGGGAGAAGCCTCGCTGATTTGTTATATCTTTATATTTACGATTACAAATGTTTCCCTTATATAATACTATTTGAGCAATGCGTTTCTACATATAATGTATCATTGTATGAAAGGTTCATCAGATGACAACTAATTTGTTAAGTCATAAATGGTCGACATAATTTCAAAGTGATATTGTAAGTGAGCAGTGCATTCAATTTACACTGTTGAGGTTGGAAAAAGTAAATCATTTAATGGGTTTTAAACTTTAAAACGCAATTTTTATGCCCCGGAATCGAATGTTCGGGGCATACAGTTTTTGTCCTCTCCATCTGTCTCTTAGAACTATGGCTTTCATATTTCACATGTGTATTTCCTGTGACAAGACCTTTCTTTGGGTATAACTATATTTGAAATTTTGACCTTTTGACCTTGAACATTGAGTTTAACCCACTTCTAAAAACTTTAACCTTGACCATAACTTTTAAACAGTTGTTGCTAAGGTGTTCATATTTTCACAGGTGTATTTCTTGTAACAAGACTTTCCCT